TCTAGACGAGATCACAGTTTTATTTTGTAAATATTACATTTAAGTATATATATACACACATATATGTACAACTATATATACATGTGCATATATATGTAAATTTATATTTATATATAATATCTTTATATAGATAGATATCTGTGGACAGGTTATTGATTATAGAGACCCAAGAAAGCAATTCAATAATTGTTCAAAATTTCCCTCACTGACAGCTGGTGTGTAGTTTTAAGAAGCCCCATGTCGTTTGCACTCAGAATGCCATATCTTCCTTTAATGGAACACTTGAAGTGTAATTTTTAAGTCTGAGAAGTGAGGTGCCTTCTGAAGAGGATATTTTAGTAACTCCCTTCCTCTGTAAGTTGGAAATGGCCCGGAAGTCTTGAATCAACAGTTAACTGACTTGGCATTGTAAGAAGTAATCAGCTTTCAACAAAATCAAAGAACCGGTAAAGGCCAGAATATTGGAATAGGGGACTGGAAGCAAATTCACCCCCAAAATGAAATATTCTCCAATCCAGGTCTCTTTCTTCAAGTGGACTAAGACCCACAAACTCTGGCTCTATTCCTTGAAAATCAAATGAACACTCCCTGTCTTTCTCAAGAGGCCAACAGGCCTGTGCATTCTCAAAAAATAACCCATGGACTTTGTGCCAAACTTTGGCCCTCACAGCCCATTTAAAACCTCAGGGCCTCACAATCCCCTGCCCTCCCACTGTGAGGTAGGTATGTAGTATTAGCCCCATTTTGCAGCCAGAGAAACTGAGGCAAATGTAGACACAATTTGATAACTTGTCCAAGATCACTGAGCAAACGGCTGCTTGGAGTTAAGAGTTCTAGGTTGTTTACACGAGGGACATAATTCCTTTTTTGGCTATTGTGCATTTCTTTTTCAAAGCAACTGATTGGTAGGAATTTGGCAAAAGTTGAATAAATGACAAGAATAGGCTTTTCTTCATTTGTCATTTAGTTTTTATGTTTGTTGCTTTTCCTTGGTTTGTTTTGTTTCTCAAAACTCATGGGGGGTTACCTGTCTGGCATGTAGCAGCCTCTTAGGAAGTTGGACCGTGCAGTGTGGTTCTGAGTGCAGTCTTTATAAAGCCCAGTGCTATACTGGGAAATATAAACAATTTATAATGCAAAAAGCACAATGACACATTATGTCCCCGCAGTATTTGGTACAACCAATATCCAACCCTCCCCACTCCCTACTACCACTGATTGCCACCAAACAAACAAAATGTCCCCGACAACAACAATAAAACATCAAGGGGGAAAATGGCATGTTTCCTGGACCTACCACAATGTACAGAAAATACCAGACAATGTTATAAAATCCCACTCTATGTCTTCTAGGGAAATCTTTACGCTTGTGTCTATCTACTCGTCTGTAGAATATTTCCCTTAGGAAACATAAAAATAGTGTCTTTTTAAAAAAATTCTTAGTTTTGAATCATGCATTTTTTCCCTTGTAATCTGCTTGGGTTCTATTAATCTCTATCTGTACAATGTTGTCATTATCATTTTCTTTTTTATTTTCCCACTTGAAGTAGTTCCAGAAAAAAAAGACACAAAACCTCAAAACCGTTGACTTGACCTTCCTTTTCTTTCTCTCTCTCTCTCTCTCTCTCTCTTTCTTTTGCTTTTCTGTTCTTTTTTCTTTCTTGTTCGCTAACACAGGTAAGACCTATACCAAATTGACAGTTACAACCAAGTTAAAGCAAACCTGGAAGGGAGGTAGCTGAAATCTGTCTTAAAGAATTATTTTCAACAACTAGTATTTAAGTATCGGCCAAGATGGGAATAAGACCAAGAGAACTGTCTAGGCAGTGACTCAACATGCTGAAGCCATGGGTGGCAGCTCATTCTTTACGTCTTGAAAGCTCTAATATTCATGACCGTTAATCTCTCCCTTCCTTCACAACCTAGTTCCCCCACCAAAACTGACTCTCCAAGGACTGCTTTCCCTTAAATGATTGTTGGCACAGTTTCTGGGGGTAATGCAAGTCCTTTGGGCAGACAATAGGGCTATAGCTTGGAAAGGCTTCCCAAGACAGGGCTTAGAGCACTGTCCACCTCAACTCTTGCTTTTTTGTGCTCACAGGCTAATACTTTTCCAGGCACAGAACCCTGATGTATTTAAGGCCCTTGAGCTGCTGATATATAATAGGGCTTCAGATCTGCCTCCTGGTGAGTACTCTGCTGTCCTAAACAGGACATGATCCAAGGGATGAGACATTGAGTTATTTCCAGGAAACAAAATGGAACTGGGAATCAGTGCATTGCACAAATAGAACTGACCCTCCTCCACTAAGGTTTGTGAAGAGCCTGTAAATTACACCTTATATGTGGGCATGAGGCTGGCAACCCATCAAGTAGCCTCCTTTGTCTAATATCCTTCTGAAGTGGCTGGGCAAGTCTTTATTCAGAAGGGCTGAATTCAATACGTGAGTCTGGAGATAGAAGTCAGCCTCCAGGAATCTTTGCTTAGCTGAAGAGTATAGAGCTAGACAACAGTGATAGTGAAGTTAGAAAGAGGATGAGGATTGACTTCAAGGGAAGCTGGTAAGGTTTTTTGTTTTTATCTTTTTGGGGTTCCTGTAAGCTCATCATTAGTAATTTCCTCTTTATGTCTTGAAAGCTTTCTGTATTACTTATGAGTGTACTTAAGCAACTGGGAGAAGAGACACTGTTACCTTTCTTAGCTTGTACCTTCAAGCTAACACCACACAGGTCGATACCTCAGCTAGGGCAGGGAAAGGCCTGCAGAGTTGGCAAGAGTTCTCTAACACAGGAAAGAGGTATAAAATAGGATGAATTCTCCTAATGTTATTTTTCCTAAGGATTGGCTGTCACGATTACAGAAAAATAATGCCCTGGACATAAAAATGGTTTTGTAAGGAAGAAACATAAAGGACTGGAGCCTGGCATTGGCAATGGTGGCAGCCTCTCCCTCTGGAATTCAAACTCAGAGTGTGTAATATGGGACAGGCCATGTACACTATCTAACCACTGTATCCTTCTTCACGGGCCCCATGCAAATAGCACCTTGATGTGTTTCTTAAACCACGGATGGCCAACAGATATATTCTCATGTGGTTTTGATCACCAGGTAATTGCTGTTGGGCATGATACAGTAAAATGGTTTCTGAAGTTATTTTTGGTCCCAATAGCAAGAAGGGCTGTGATGCATTAACAATGCCTATATCGGATGCAAGAATCAGGAGCTGCACACGTGCCATTCCTATGCTAGACTTTGTTTGGAATGGTTGTCTTCAGTAGATGTGAGATGAGTGGATGCACAGTAATCTTTACAGGATATGACTAATCTAGACCTTCCTATTTCTAGGCTTCAGAAAATACGTTGCAATTAACCTTTCTTTCTACCTTACCCTGTATTAATCTCTTCCCATGTGAATTCAAAGGAAGTGGAAAGATAATGGACTAAAAAGAGGCAGAGAGACTCCAAGAGAAGTGGGGATGCCATGTGAGATTGAGCGATCTCCTTCTTAGTCTTGGAGGCTGAATATGAGAGAGAGGGAAAAGCTGCCCAGCCAAAGGTGTAGAAGGAAGTTTGGGTAGGTGGAAAACCATATGAAACACATGATGACAGTCTGACTTGTTGGGTACTGAGGTTGGAACTCTTTGGCTTCCCTCTGATGGACCTCTAGAAAACAGTCTTATTGATCTTATCCAAAATATTAATAACTCTCTGTCCCAGAATTATATCTACTCAGAGCAACAGTAAGGTTCTCAGGACTGAAGCCTACTCTAGCCCGTGGGGCTAAGAAGACTAGGATAAGGGTAATAACGAAAGAGTCCTGGCAGTTTTGATTGTCTCTGGATGACTCCAACATCATAGAATTTAACACTGTTCTACTTGATTACAAAATCTAACACTGGCATAGACATTCTGGACTCTCAGTGAGGGTTCTAGCATCTGAAGTCCCTCAACTCCTTTCCAGGATGAGAGGCCCACCCAGGGGGGACTTCAATTCTCACCATTGAGGCCATGAAGACTTTTCTTTTGCAGAAGGACTAGGAAGTGAGGAGCTGTGGGAAAATGTGGGTCACTTTTAAGGCAGACTGTTTGGTTGTGTGGGGTTTTTCCTATCCTAATTCTACCATCTTGGGTTACTCAATGTATAGGATAGAGCAGCAGGAAAAGTAGCAGCAAATGTGGTCCCAAGGCAAGATTTGGAAAACAGGTGGGTCCTAGAGGAATATTACGACCTCAAGCCTCAAGCAGGGGGCTGGTATAATACCTTAACATTGCAATCCTAAGCCATTTCCAGCTGGGCCTCGAACCATGGAGTTGGGGTAAAATCCATATGGCAGCGGAAGAACTGGGGGCTTTGCATACCTTGGAATCTTTACCTCTTCCTGGTCCTAGTTCCCTAGAAGGTAGATGATCACAGTCCAATTTACTTCTGATCCCAAAGGACTGCACAAATGTGCAAGCCCTACATATTATGAGCCTCAGGGTTGAGCTATCTTGATATCTCAACGCTTGCTTAGTCTTAGCAGTTGCTGAAACTCTCATTCTCCCAAGGATAGGATCTTCTTGGAAATAGAAAGATTGAGTTTGTTCTCTTTTCTCGCTACTCAATCTCTAGAACTTCCCTAGCACAGATGTTTGTATGGGTGTGTATGCATGCATGTGTACTAACCACAGATGTGCACACTCCTAGATATGGAATACGTTTCTTGCTGTGGTTGTGTGAGAAATGGTTAGAGTTTTAGGAGGCTCTGGGACTGCACATTGTCTATGCAGTCCATCTCAGACTTTGGGATGGGATTCTATTCCATCATTCAACATAGCAAGACTTGGTTCATTTGCCCCCACTGTGAGTCCTTCCTGGGTAAAATTAAAGGCAGACCGGTTGGGTGCTAAGGATCCCTGGTGTGGAGAGGCCATTCTGTTGAGCAGCGGACTGTGAAATCAATACCAAAGGGATGCGGATCCTGGCGTTGGGAATTCTTTGACAACTCCTTGTCTTTCCTTAGCCATGGCTGTATCCCCGGAGGTCTTTCCGGCTATGTTCTTGGGCCTGAGGGTCCCGACAAGCACAGTCACCTTGTAGGTCACAAGACATTGGGAAGGGAGTGACCTGAAAAGAGAAAGAGTGAAGGAATGAACCAGGTGGTTTGGTCAGAGAAGCAAAACAGGGCACGGGTACAATCATCAGACTGTGGGAGCAGAAGATTCAAGTTCAAGTCATAGCTCTGCTTCTTGCTATCACTGTGAAAACTTTTATCAGGAGCATCAGGGTCATTATCATAGAAGTTTTCCACTTTTAGAAGCATTTGCTATACCTTCGGCACTTGCCATAGGTCAGTGCAATATACTGAACACTTTCCAAACGGGAAAACACCGAATCTTCTTGATGAGTCTGTAAAATAGATATTACAACCACCACCCTTTTATTGATGGGGAAACTGAGGCTCAGAAAGGGAGAAGCATTTGCCCAAAGCAGTAAGTGACAGATGTCACTTAAAGTTAGAGCTTCTCTTACTTCTCTCTGAGCCTCAGGTTCCTGTTTGTAGACCTGGTGTACTGAAGACCCATTGTGTGCGCTAAATGAGAAGGGCTGAGTAAAATCACAGTGGGAAAATGGTATGCACGATACCAAAGTCAGTTAATATAATTGTACAATGGAATACCTACCATAGAGGATGGTTGTGATGATCAGGTGAAATAAAGGATGTGGAGGTGTCTCTTAAGAAAACATAACTCTTTGTGCAAATGGGTAATTTTGATTTGGGGAGGCAATGATGAAAACCAAAGCACTATCTCAGTCAAGCTCAGACCACCTTCTGGGAGGCTGGAAATCCTGAGTAGATAATAGCTCACAAAGAGGTTTTGCACAAAATCTGAAAGGACCTCAGAAGCAAATTTTACTATAAGAAAAAGTAAGAGGACCAGAGGCCAGGTTCCCAGTCCATCCTTTCATGCACTCTGTGTCCTTGGGCTGGCTTTCCTTGCTAGAAACAGACAGGAAGAGCCCAACAGAGCAAGTGTCTTCCCCATCCAGCAGATGATCTATCTTTCCAAAGAGCACAGCACAGTCCCTGCTTGAGTGCCAGGCTGAACTAACGCAAGTGGATTTCACCTCATTGCATCATGACATTTGCATATCACTTTCCCCAGAGGGTCTCCCATCTGCGCAGATGGATTTAATGACCTCATTCGCCTCCTGCCCGGGCAGGGTCTCCAAGTACTCACATAGTCTCCAGGAGCATCTTTGTTTTTATCCCTCTCTCATGTACTTGCAGCGTCAGTCTCACTGTCTAGCTCTTCTTTCTTCTCTGCCTCTTTCCCCTCCTTCCCTTCCTCCCTCCCTTCCCCCTTTCCTCCTTCCCACTATCCCTCCCAATGTCTCTCAGTCCTGAAATATTGCAATAAATTAAAATGTAAGATCTAATATCAGAAAGAAAAGACCTAAGTATAAACCCCAGCTCTCTCACCTACTTGAGGGGTGACCTTGAGCACATGACAATTTCCCCAAGCCTTAATGAATCCATTTATTAAATGGGAATAATTAAAGCATGCACACCTCCTGAGGTTGTGATGAACAATGAAGAATGAAATAACTCATGAAAAACACCCAGCACAGGGCTTGACATGTGCTAAGTGCTCAATTCTTATGCGCACACACTGTCTCTCTCTCTCTCATTTATTTATTTATTGTTTGTTTATTGATTGATTGATTGATTCTATCCTCCCACCAATTCTGTGGCCAATGAGCAGGGACCAGGTCAATCCTGTTCATTCTTGTTTAGGCAGGACCTAAGCCATAGAGCTGCTTTTCATTTTTCCATCTCACTCTGACTCTTTCTTTGTATTTGTGGCTAGGGCATCTCTTTATTTCTCCTCTCAATTTTCATTCATCGGTGTTTGATGCCGTGGTGAGCATTTCCATAGCTCCTTTTCCCAGGTAGTACCCCTCTTCCTGCTTATAACTACTTACTGTTCTCTGTTCAAGACATTTTGTTTCCAACCTCAATCACTTTGTGGAATAAATCTAGAACATTCCGTATAGAATTCGGAATTTTACTTTTTACAACCACAATTACCTTTTAACCTTTAATAAAAGCACAGAATGTTGGATATAGAAGAGACCTAGAGAGAAAAGCCTCCAGTCCAAATGGGACAACTGAGGGCAGAGCTGTGTCAAAACCCCACCCCTCAGGTAGAGTATGGAGAGGATCTGAGGACCATCGTGGGAGTCAAAGGTCTGAACAGAGGTGCTTACTTGCTACATACTTGTGGAATGATTTAGAGAAAAGCCTTTCACTGTCATGACCCTGCGTTTCTACATCTATAAAAGGAGGATTCTAAAAATATACTGTATTTCATATGGTTATGAGGACATACAAGAGGCCAGCACATGGCCCATCACCTGCGAGATGGCTCAGTGTTGAATATGTACGTGCTGAATCAAATTTCTCACTGACTCACATTTCACCATCATTCCTGCCTGTTGTCTCCTTTCTCCCACCTCCGCGACTTGGCCGACCTTTCTGTCCTGAGCTCCCCCATTCCATCATCCAGCCCCCTCTCCTTCCTTTGCCGACATGCTGTCATTAAAATGATCCAGTTACCGCTAATGTCTTCTCTGTAATTCCCTCTGCAATTCTTTCCCATTGAGCTCTAAGACCCATTAGGGACCACTTCATGTCTGTTTTATCTTCTGTACTTCCTGTCACACCTCACACAGGTAAATGTGCAACAATTCTATCTCTTAGAATAGAATCCAATGACCTTACTGCATGTTCAAGGCCGCTCATGATCTGGTGTCTACACAATACTCAGACCTCACCTGGCTGTCTTCTTCCCCTTGCTCCCTGTGGCTTGTTTGTTTATTGGTTCCTCATATACTCCAAGTGTTTTCCTACTTTTAAAGCCTTTAGCCATTCATGTTCTTCCACCTTGACTGCTCTTTCCTGGCCTCTCCTTTTCATTCTTCAGGTCTTAACTCAAACATCACCTCCTGTCTCATTGGCCTGGCCAAAGTCGGCACCATCAGTTCCATACTACATCATGGCATCCTATTTTTATACTTGTACTGTATTGAATTACTTCTTCACCTGTGTGTCAGCTCAGTCTGACAGGGGCCATGTTTGTTGTTGAACGGAGTCTTCATGTACCATATAATAGGCCCCCTAGGGACCCAAGAATGGATAAGTAAGAACAATGGACATGCAGGCAGAATATAAGTCAGGAATCCTCTGCTCTTGCACTCACTTGCTGGGTGACTTTATACAAGTTACTTCCCTTCTCTGGGCTTCAGTTTCCCTATTTATATCTATAAGAGTTGGTCTTCATGGCTTCTCACTTCCCATCTGGCTAATACCTCTTCAAAGGTAGAAAGCAGAGCTCTGGCCAGAAAGGAATTAGAAATGTAGACATTGTCCATAAAACCCATCTTTCATGATCCCCTTTCTGTCCCCTCTGGTTCCATTAGCTTCTCCAAAATTATCAGCTGGCAGGGCTGTGCCACCAGTGAGCACCTCAGGCTGATCCACCCCCTCTGGCTGTGCTAGAAGGCTGTCAACATTCTCTTCCCTCCCCAGGCTAGTCCAGGCAGTTCTAGCACTTCCCAAATAAACATGTCTGGAAACGGTGTTCCAGACAGAAGGAAATCCAATCAGAACACACAGTCTAGAAGGTTTGATCTCAGGAGGCAGACCCAGAGCCTCCCTGTCCCTGCCACATGCTTGTCAGTGCAGCTGAATTTACTGTGAGCTCACCAGAAATTTGGGAGTCAGTTGTGGGTGCCACACAAGGACTGCATGACTTCCAGCAAGTCCTTGGCACCCTGTAGACCTCACCTCCCCTATCTGCAAGACAGATGCCTTTATCAAGACCTCACAGCATTTTAGTTAAGAGTCGATGAAATCATGTCATTTCATCATGTAAGCCAGCCCCATGCAGGTACACAGCGTCCTGTTCCTTCCTATTGCCCCATGCCTGTTCAGAGCCTGCCTTAGGGTCTCCTCTTATCACAAGCTTCCTCATTGATCACAGATCTAAAGTTGAAAAGAGAACAATGGAAATTCCCAGGTATTCCTAGGTCTTACCTGAAAAAGACTCAGGTGGGCTCTGTCCTACCACACAGAAGTATTTTGGAGACAGTATTTTGAAGCTGTCCATGCAGGTTCAACCAGTGTGTTTACTGTGCACATAGGGAAGTCATTCCCCAGAGCTTTGCACATGCTGGGTAATTTGTATGTGCCAGCTCGTTGACTCTTCACAGCCTTGTGAGGCTACCAGTATGAGACACCCAATTTGCAGGGGAGGCTTCACAATTAAGGCCAAACAACCTCACCCCAGACCCCATCCAGCACCAGTCAGTAAGTCCATGATGCATGACTGTAAACCCCATTGTAGTCATTGAGTTTTTCAGCAAGTGAGAGTCAAAAGAAGGCATTTTCTTCCCAACCTGGCAAGACTGACTGCTGTTTTGTCTTTTTAACAGCCAGTTGCTTTTACCTCTTATGATGTGCCTGGCACCAAGCTAAAACGCAATGTGCATTATCTCACTCTTTCCAGCAACCCTAATAAGGCAGCTGTTCTTACTATCCCTATTTTACATCTTAGAGGAAACTAAGATGCATAGAGGTGAGTCACTAGGCCAGTAGGTGGCCTGGGACATGCCTCCATGGTTGTAACCACTCCTTAGCCCCAGCCCCCAGCAGGAAGGATGGGCAACAGTCACTGTCCTCTCTTTGCAAAGGAAGAAACAGAGGCATGGAGAGAGAAACCACATCCTGATAAAATCAGAGCTCTGAGCCTGATGCTCAGATTCCCCGACTCTCTAAACAGCTTCCCACCTTCTCCCCCAGATGGCCTCCCAGGAAAACCTATCATCCACAGGGTAAACTCCAAGTTGACCAGTTTACATTTGGGGATTCCCAGTATCTTGTGGCCAGGCTGTCCCATAAGAGGCTCACCCATCCTCTCTGGGATTCTGTTAAGAAGCCAGGCCAATGCCCAAGGGCCAGGATTCTCTCCTCTTTTTCTCCAAAGGTGTTCAGGCACAGAGGTTTCCCCCCTTGGCTGAGTTGCCCAGGTTGGCAATTCCAACCATGAGTGCTGAGTGCTTCA